TAAAGAAGTTACAAAGAAGGCCAGAAGAAATTCCAAAGAGGAACAAAGAACAGATAAGGACCGATATGGGCTATTCCCTTGGTAACAGAAGAAGAAAGTGAGCTCAACTTTCTTCTCCTGTTACCAAGGGAATAGCCCATATCGGTCCTTATCTCTTCTTTGTTCCTCTTTGGAATTTCTTCTGGCCTTCTTTGTAACTTCTTTAGAATTTGGTGTCTCTGCCTGCCCGGTACAAATCTAATTTACAGCTTACTTGTTCAGTCAGGCATCTGGCTAACTGCTTCTAAAGGAAATGGGATGGAGGAATGGTGTGCTCTCTTGGAAGGCAATCAGGCATTCAACAAAGAGATAAGGTGGGGGAAAGGAACGCTGTGCTCTTTACAAAGCAAGTTGATCCTTTATAAATAAGATAGAGTGCACTGTTACATGCATGTTAAATATATATACAAAATATAAAATCGTATATTAAAATAATGCCCTTCACTTAGTTATAGGCTATCCCACTGGAGTAATAGTAACGACTTGGGGAAAGCATTTTGTACAGTTTGGGGCACAACACTGAGAGTTTGTGGTGGCCTACTGGTTATATAATACCTACATGAACATTGATAAAATGTCATTAATATATTTTTTGCAGATTGGTTGTAAAGGTGTATCCTATTGCAAATCCAAAGCCTATGAATAGGTCCTCAGTTCGGAATGGTCTTAAAATTAGGTAACCAAGATTTTATTTAATTGCTTTGAAGAGGGCAAAACAAAGACAACACAACTTGTGTGTAATTTCTAAGAAATCAGACTTATTGGACCTTGAAGCTTTTCCCCAAAAAAGGAGCTTGGGTCTTTAAAGCGCTCTGTACATGCTTCATGGCTTTTTTCCCCATCATTACCAGTATTTTAAGATTGTAATACAAAAATCAAAACGTATTTGGAAGTTAAGTTCCTCTTCAAATTAATCTAAGGGGTACTTAGAGAAGGTAACACAACAGTTATTTACAGTACTGATCTCTGATTCATTCTCTTAACTCCTTTGGGGTTTCAAAAGCTGGAAAACTCCTGATTTTGATCTTGGACTTCTAAGACTAACAAAGCGATTCTGCAAAAGAGTGCAGAAAGTCTTTTCAAGAGAAGCAAAAGCCAATTAAGTGTGAAAAAAAGGACATGCTCCAGTGCAAAACAACAGTGATTACACCAAACACAGTATAAGGAAATAAATATTAACCCAATGCATGTGATTTATTCAAACATTCCTAAAGAACAAGGATACAGCTGTTGTCAATCACTAAAATACATACAGTCTAAGACAGCTGCATTCCCATACACCAACCTTTCCCAACTCTGCCTCCAGATGTGTTGGACTATAACTTCCATAACTCTCAGCCAGGATGACTTAGAAAGTCTAAGAATTGTGGGAGTTGCATATCAACTCGTCAGCAGGGCAGTAGATTGGAAAAGGCGAGTACCTTATCAATCAGGTTTGAAGCTCTTTAAAGGGTCTTCCTTCCAAGCAGAGATGCATAAGATTGTGCTATTAAGGTTACCTATGATGGCTGTTTTAGCAGAAACTCAGAATATTCCTGTTTGGAGCTAGCTGTGGCTAAACTTGGTTTAAACTTGGCTAAACTTGGTAAAGTTGCCCCAGGCAGCAGATGCTTGGAGTTGACAGGAAGCTGCTGATGGAGAGAGCTGTTTGGGATAGGTCCTATGCAGCCCCACATCACTTAGCCTATCACCTTCTCAAATGGATGAGGGTATCACCCCATTATGTGCCCTGTGAAACTGAGAAAATTCAGCTTCTGTGATGGAATGAGATAGGTACCATCTTGGTCTCAGCAAGAGCCAGCATGATGTACTGGATAAGGTGCTGAACTAAGAGCAGGAACAGAAGATCCAGGTTTTCGTCCTTCCTTTGACATGAAAGCCAACTGGGTGACCTTGGGTCAGTCCATTGCTTCTCAGCCCTGATCGGTGTCAGGCCCTGCGACAAGCTGGTTCAAAAACAAAGCCTCTTGCACATCGTGCATTGATAACTTTGCTGTGTGAATGAGGTGAGCACGGTGCAAAATGCAAGTGGACCCCACAACCAAGCAGGACAGATGTGAAGAAGAACATCTTTCCTTCTGCTGTCCTCCTTCCTCAAAGGGCATAAGGTCCTGTTGATCATATCAACTGTTACAAAAGGATCTCGGTCCAGTTGGTCCCAGTAAGACTAGGTAGGTCCAGAATTTAAGCTAATTCTCAATGTGCCAATAGCAGAAAGAAGGGTACTCACGTTCGGAGAACAAAAATAGAATCACAGAGCTGGAAGGATCAAATTAAAGCATACAGAGGGTTGCCACCTCCCTAGATAATTGGTTTCTCAGTCCAACTGCTTTTACTGTTAGGAAGTTTTTTCCTAACTTTCAACCCTAATCTGTCTTCCTGTAACTCAGGATTCCTCAACCTCAGCAACTTTAAGATGGGTGGACTTCAACTCCATCTTAAGTCCACCCATCTTAAAGTTGCTGAGGTTGAGGAACCCTGCTGTAACTACCCATTTCCTTCAATCTCTCCTTATAGAACTTCATTTTCAGTATTTTGATGTAGGGCAATTTGATCTGGGTTGCAGAAATCTGGAGGATCACTAAGAGGATGGCAAAAAGTTAGAATGGTCAGTTCCTCTTTGCTGCCCCTTGTGGTACCTCCAGTCTTGCACTTAGAGCTGTCACCCCTACTTGATCATTCTTGTTGCTCTTCTCTGCCTGGAGGGGAAAAAGCATGGATAAACTGAAGAGCCCCCAGGTGCAAAGCAGTTTAGAGATGATCTTGGGGAAGGTATGAAAGAAGCTTAAGAGGGACTTGGAGAAGAGATTCCATCGTCCTGAAAGAGAAGGAAGCGTGGACAGAAACTCAAAATAACCTCACCTTGATTTTGCTTACTGTAGGAGGGGACAGAGAGAAAGTTGTGCAGGCTTTCAAGATTCTGTTGTTGTATCCTGCAACAATAAAGTAGCATTCCTGTGGTGTGTGTTTCTTGACCTGGACTACCTTGAAGAGCTGGCACCTGGGGAGGTAGAACAGATAATGGAGGAACCTGACCAGGCTTCCTCTGAAAACAGGATGTTTGGGAACTGACTACACCAACTTAGGCAGATCTTCTGACCAGGTAAACCCTTATCCTCCCACTTTTGCCTGTTCCCTATTTTGTGAGAATGCCCACCAAATTCCAAATGTCCCCACGGATTCAAAAAATCTGCCAACTCCAGACTTGGAGCAAAGCTTGGAGATCCTAGATCTCTGGGCTGCACAAATCCAGCAGACATCTGGAGTGATCATCTGGTTTGCGTAGCCCAGGTATGCTAGTGCTAGGAAAACTACAAAAGTGACCTTGTTGATCTCAAAGACTTGTAAGTCGCTGGCTTTTGGCTACCACCAATGGAACAAAAATTTGTAGAAGAAGTCACTGGATTTGAAGCGAAAGCCTTTTTCTGGAACGTAGACCTGGAAAGAAGCCTTGTAATCCTTGGCTTCGATGTCCATCTTGATGCAGTCCAAGAGGTCCAGAATGCTTGGTGCAGCTTTCCAGGGGCCAAACTGGACCACTGACTTCTTGGAGGTGTCTAAGCTGTTGAGAGCATCACTGCACTTGGCCACGTCCTCCAGAGTCTTCACCACGCATAGCATGACGCTGGATTGGCGGGAGGCCACAGCTTCTGCCCGGGCGATTCGAATCATCAGCTCGATGTTTTCAGAATAGTTGGGCACCCGGGCAAGAAATTGCTTCCTGGCCACCAGCTCACCAAAGATTTGAGGGGATTCCTCCAGTTGCTTGATCAGAGGCTTGATGTCATAGTAGATGGCTTCCTTGTAAACCTCCTCAACGTTTTGCAAGGGAACTTGGTCGCTGCGCAGATACTCAAGGATGTATTTAAAATAAGTCCCAGGTCGGTCTATGAAGTATCTCCCCGCCGAATCTGTTCGTGGCTTGGCCTGTCCCCCGGCAAACATCTCAGCCAATTTGGAACTCGGATGCTTCTTCAAGGTGCTCAGCATGGTTGTGAAGATCTCCCCCCCAACATTTAACTCAATGATTTGCAACTGCTGATGAGAAAGGGGAGGGGAAGATGTCACACATTACGCATCCCGGTTTTGAGAACGGAAAGTGCAGGGGCAGCCTCGAAGATGTATTTAAAATATCTATCCTCTATAATAGCAATGCGAAAGTCAGCTGCACTCCCAAGTTCCCTTTTTGCCACACCTGGAATTCTTATCAAGAGTAAAGACTGAAAACTGATAGCATTGCTTTAAAGCAGTGTTTCTCAATCTGGAAAACTTTAAGAGGTGCGGACTTTAACTCCCAGAATTCCCCAGAGTTGAAGTCCACACATCTTAAAGTTGCCAAGGTTGAGAAACATTGCTTTAGAGCAGTGTTGTCCAAACTTGGCCACTTTAAGATGGCTGGCTGGGGAATTCTGGGAGTTGAGGTCCACTCATCTTAAAGTGGCCAAGTTTGTGGCTGGCTGGGGAATTCTGGGAGTTGAGGTCCACTCATCTTAAAGTGGCCAAGTTTGTGGCTGGCTGGGGAATTCTGGGAGTTGAGGTCCACTCATCTTAAAGTGGCCAAGTTTGTGGCTGGCTGGGGAATTCTGGGAGTTGAGGTCCACTCATCTTAAAGTGGCCAAGTTTGGACAACACTGCTTTAGAGGCACTTTTGTTTAAGCCCTGGAATAGGTATCGTTAGACCGGCCGTCCCTAGCTGAGCCTGGCTATTTTCAAAATGCTGAACAGGGTGGGGCATGGTTACCATTTGGATAGGAGACCACCAGGCTAGATTGGGAAGTCATTAAAACTTTCTAGAAGAAAGCAGTGGTAAACCACTTCCATATTTTTTCCAGAGAACTTCCCAGAGGTGTCTGTGAAGTCACTAGAGTTTCATCTCATGTCAACAGGTGACAGCACTTTCCTAAAAAAGGAGTGAGTTGGGCTTCCCTTGGGTGGGAACACTACAACTTAAGTCCAGCAACTGGTTGGTGGTACCTACAAGAGAACCTCAGCAGAGCCTACTCTAGGATCCACAAAGGCTGGGTTCACACCTCTAACTAAGCCACCATTTCTTGCTGAAGGAGCCATATGTTGACTTCACATGACGCACTATGTCACAACTGGCCTAACCATGGTTTGTTGAATAAGCCACAATTGGCTGGATTCCCACGACATGCTTATCAAACCACAGTTTAGAAACCACAGTGGCTGGAATTGCACAATGTGCAAAGCTATTTTTTAATCCTTGATTTGTTGAATAGGCCACCAGGTTTCACACACACCGTGAAGCTATAATGTAGTTTGCTTGTTTTCGGCTTAGTGTGAATTATACCACAAACCATGCTTTTAAAATAGCCTGGTTTAGGCTGATGCATGAACCTATGCATGTATATGTGAACCTATGCATACAGAACATGCCACAGTTTCTGTGGGTGCAGTCCTGACTCCTCCCTTTCTGAGTCACTGAATTTGTCTGGTTTTGACTTAGTCCATATGGAATCTAACCAGTATGTTTTGTGAACCACAGTTGATGGCTTAGTACAGTGTTTCTCAACTCCAGAAACTTTAAGATGTCTGGATTTCAGCTCCCAGAATCCCCCAACCAGCCATGGGATTCTGGGAGCTGAAGTCCACGCATCTTAAAGTTGCTGGGGTTGAGAAACACCGTCTTAGTGTGTTGTGTGATCTCAACCCACTGGATGCACAAATGCGCAAACTGAGCAATGGCTCCGTTGGTGGAGCTGAGAGGCGGATTCTGCAGACCCACAACACTGCTTTCCCCATTTCCCCACTGAGCCGGCTTCTCAAACAGAGAAAAGGATCTCCTGCCACCTGCTCCTCAACGACAGAACTGCCGGAGATGGGATCAAATCCACCACCTTCCGCGCGCTAAGCGTGCGCTTTGCTTCCTCCTCCCTCACTTACCATCTGCAAGTTCGTCAGATTTTGTTTTCCAAGCATCTTGGGCTCCGGAGAATCGCTCATTTTTCTCCTCCAGCACTGGAGACCCAGAGCTCTACCAGTTAGCAAGTGGTGGGGTGATTGTTGGGAAGGGACTAGTTAACCGGTCTTCCTCCCCAGCTCCTGGTCACCACCTTGCAGCACACTGATGCCCACTCACACCCGTTGCACGCCCAGAGTCTCCTCCCAGGTGAAACCAGCATAAGGGAGCACCTGTAAGCGGAAGTCTCCCGTTTAGGAAACCTTCTGAGCTGGCATTCCACTTTGAAGCGGGAGCAGGGGGCTGGCCAGCATTTCTGAAATTCCTGCCTCCAGACACACACGTCAACGATGACTAATACCCAGCCAGCCCAATCAGTCCTTCCTTGGCCCTTTTGTGCCTTCAGCAAACAATCTCAGTAAACAGGCATCGCCTTTGGCTCTTTTAAAATGCCTGGACTCCGAATTCTTCAGCTTCCTCAGTCTGGTTGAAGAGGGCAAATCTCATGATCACCTGAACTTTAAAAGCCCAGATCCGAGGCCCTAGTTTTATCTTCTTTCTCCTAAAGGCACAGGAGGCAGCGAAAACCCCAAGGAACCTCCCCCCTACCATGGGGCAGGGTTTTGGGGCGAAAAAACATTTTTTTGGAATCTACTGCCCCAGTACTATAGCAAAGTCCCATTCAAAATGCTGGAAAGATGCTGCTGGACAGACTTGGTTGGCACATCATTCTAAGCCATCATGGTGTGTTTAGTTCTGGCTTAGTGAACGGGGTGAAGCCAGCCCTGGTGGCTGGCAAACTGGTTCATAGCCTAGTGCAATGTGGGAACCCAGCCAGTCATGGTTCATTCAAGAAAAGGTTCTTGAAACAGTGCAGAGGGTGAGAACCCAGCAGCAGAGTTGGCTCTTCTTATGCTAAGCTGTGATTTGTTTTCACCTTTAACCTTAGTTTGGGGAACCAGCCACAATGACCTGATTCACCCCAAAGCTAAACCAGCCACCATCGTTTGCAAACCTCAGGGGCTGGGCTCAAAAGTTATGCTAACCCAAAATGAAAGAAGCCACATGATGGCGGATGAACAACGATCCCCCTTGGCATAAACAGGCTTCCTGTGTCTCTAATTTGAGTTTTCGCCAGCACTGGAGCTGCAGCCCGTGTCAATCGTCTTGTTAGCTGGGATTTATAAGAATAGACGTTAACACATCTGGAGGGCAGCAGGTTGGAGAAAGGCTCCTCAGATCATTAGATCCCCTTGTGCCAAGAGAGAATGTCCGGAGGAAGGGAGGACAGCATATCAAATTCAACACTTTCAGAGAGTGAGGTGTTGGAAGGCAGGGACTGTTCCTGATAGGACATGATGTTTGCAGAGGTGGAGGGAAAGCTCAGCATGGCACAAAGGAGGGCAACTCCCATGGAGGGAGCCTTATCGGCAACTCAGATGGCTTTGCTGAGTTCTGGGTGCTCTCTGAGCATGCTTTTCTTCTTGCACTTGTTTCATGACCAGATGAAGTGACGTTATCAGTGATGATGATGGTGCTGGTAGTGAAGCTTTCTAGCTGTTAGTATATAGACAGCACGGATGTAGTGGGCTGTCATGGGGAGAAGGAATGACCCTGAGGAGCAGGAGGAAGAGCTGCTGGCTGGGGAATTCTGGGAGTTGAAGTCCACACATCTTAAAGTTGTCAAGGTTGAGGAACACTGATCTAGATCAACTTATACCTAGCATAATGAAGGCAGACTTGGGTCTCTTTCTCATGCTACTCCCTCCCGATGTCTCTGTGGCAATGGTCCCGTTTCCTCTCTAGGTTCCCAGGGCCTGCTAGACATTTCATCAGACTAGAATTGTTATGGGTAGGTGGCATCTAACGCTGCAAATCAGTAACAATGTATAGCCTGGCATCAAACAGAACATCATCTAGATTCCAGGATCCCCTCCTTTTATGCCACATTTGAAAAATCCCTCTTCTTCAAGATATTTGAAGACCTAGGAATCAAAGATGCTTGCTGGCAGTCTTGTCAGAAGAGCATGCTTTAGGCCAGGTGGAAAAAGAACCTGGAAGGAAACCATGGTGGGATCTGTGAAGTCACCAGGAGAGAAGTAGGACTTGAAGGAGTCTTTTCTTTGAAAGAAAACGAGCAAACTATAGATGTTAACTAACTTCCGAATTCTGCAAGTGGGTAAAACACTGAAGCTGGGTAAGAAGGGAAGGAATGAGTCAATATCTGGAATTAATTTTATTTATATTGTTTTATTCAGTAAGTGCCTCAGTTCAGTTACATATCAAACAACAGCATAAACATCATTCCGAAAATGATTTTCAAGCAGTAGTCAGTTTCAGTCTCACCGTGGTAGGATGTCTGGGCTGATTCACAAGGTACAAAAACACGGAATATTGCATCTATGAATAATAACTTAATCTTCTGTTCATCCTAAGCAAGTTCAGAACCAGAAATACTTAAGTATTTTTTGGTATTTCAAGACATTGCCGGCAAGAAAAGTTTTCCCATTCACTCTGAGCAAGTTCAGAACTGAAATAGTCAACTTTTTCTAGAAATTGCAACATGCCACTGGCTGCACAAGGATGTTCTTTGGAGCAGTGTTCAGGAGGATGGCAGTCCATACATGACTTTCAGGCACCAGTGGTGGAGTGAACCTGTGAAATGAGTAAGAAACGTGGATCAGCAGCCCGCTCCGGCCAGCGTGAAGTCCTGCCAGCAGAAGCTCTTCAAGGTTCTCCAAGCTTCTTTATATGTGGCAAATCAGGGGACAATGCTAGTTGTTTCTACCCTGTTAACTCTTGACCAGTCTCCCCCTACATATATCTGAAATGAGGGTGCTGATAATTTGGGATTTAATCATTGCTACAGTTATAAATTTTTAGTGTGATGCAGTTAATTACATTTTGGTGTGATTTCTCACACAATAGCAGGGTTCATACATCACAGAAAGCTCTGTATAAGCAACATGGTTAGGTTATTATACTCTAGAGGGGAAGGAAGGGAAGGGAAGGGAAAGGAGGGAAGGAAGGAAGGAGGGAGAAAGGGAGGGGAGGGGAGGGGAGGGGAGGGGAGGGGAAGGGAAGGGAAGGGAAGGAGGGAGAAGAGGATCAAAGAAAAAACTTCAGTGAAATAATATGGCAAAGCTAAACCCAAGTTTGTCTCTCAGGGAGAAAGTCTCAAGATAATAAGAGAGAAGCAAATTCTCAAAGAGAGGAAAAAGTAAATGGTATTTTAAATTTACTTCACTGCAGTTGTCTGGAAATTGATTCTGTTAAATTGCTGGGGAGGTTTTGAGTAAACCTGTCTTATGGGGATGGGTCCCCAGAGTACCTCCAGAGACCATAGTGCCCCCCTAGACTAGGCAGAGCCAAACGTTTGGAATTATTTGCAATTCCAAACAATTATTATTTAATTGCAATTATTATTACTGCAATTATTTATGTTAAGGCATGTTTCCCCCTTTAAGCCCCTAACCCAGTGTTTCTCAACCTTAGCAATTTTAAGATGTGTGGACTGGGGAAGACAC